CACAAACCGATGTATTGTATTTAGAATTCGAAATCAGTAAGTCATCAAGCACAAAAGAATCGTTAGTTTATGCAAACATCACAAATTCTCACTAACCGATTATTTCGATTCATAAATGTTTGTCGATAATTATTTATTTATTGCATGAAATATCGACTGTTTCCAAAATTTCCATCGCAGAAGAGTACTAGGTTTGAATGATGAAAGAGCAACGTCTGAACAGTTGAAGCTATTTACGAAGGATCAACAGAACTAATAGGCCGTATTGTCTTCGGATAGTTTAGAAACCTGCATTGAATAATTTTAAAGCTGGAGAGATCGTAGAATAAGAATAATGTAACAGAATGATAGAATCCGTCTCGATTATTGGATGATTGTCTGACTCCATAAGATAATCAACTTAGTGAACTATAAAGGAACCATGAATATAAGTCCTTCATTTGATGTCGTATATTTCACTTAGACTGACCCTGTCTGTATAGCGGCGTCGACAATAACCCAAATACGAAATTAATCGGAAGAATTTATTTCAGACCTTCTTTTATACAGAAAGCTGAGGAAAACGTGCCTACCAAAAGTACTACTCATTATAAGTGTCATTATGGCTGAAAATAGACAATGCGTAGTGTGACATAGAAATGGGCATCAGATAAAACAATAAAAGCACTGACATACAAGCACGCACGCGCGAGACCTATATGTGTAGAATTACAAAGACATGAAAATAAGAGATATCTTGGATGGGCCACAGTTTCCTTTGATAAGAACAGTTATCGGAAAACTAAAAAGTACTTAATAATCACATATTGTTTTGTTAGCTGAGTTTCTCTGAAAGCCAAATTAATCTCGAGTGTAGTAGTACTACATGCTACAGAATAAGTTCACCAAGATCAAGTGATCGTTAGCAAATGCTAAACAGCTAAACCGCCAGAGTGGATACAAACGCCTTAGTTGAAGTTATTAACTTCCAATATAAATAACTTCAGTATGGTTTCGATTAAATTGCTGTTTTTTAGGCAAAAAGTGGTATCTTTCCTCGCTGAGTAAATTTCATTGTTTTGATCGTTTATTGCGTATCAAGACTACTGTTTTCACTTTAATTGAATTTATTTCAGTTAGAGTATTTCACTAGTGCACCGTTTTTACTGTTTTCTCGATTAGTTTAGTGTTGGTACTCGTCAGTACCTCTTTTTCAACTGTATCTGTTAGTACTTTTGGTCCTAGCAATCTACAGCCCTTCACTTTTTGGTCATTGATTGTTTTTTTGTTTTTGAGCATCATCGCATCTTGAAAAAGAACCCCTTTTAAATGACCGGACAATGTAAAAAAAAGCAGTCGCCAACGTGCGGGTTGTCGTTATCCTGTTGAAAGCGGCATGCAGTGCGACGAGCGCAAAGGCTGGTACCACGAAGTTTGCACGAACTTGACGCTTGCGGCTTTCAAACGGTTCAGTAAGAAGAGTTGCGTATGGCTTTGTCAACAGTGCTGTTCGGTCATCTCACTGGTTGATGCTGCAAAGAAGTGTTTTAGCAAGCGTAGTCGGAACACGTCAAACAGCACTCGATCTGTCGACACACAAATCGACATGAAGCAAACTAAGGTTAGTTCGATAGTAGATGACTCACGCCCGTCAAAGAAGGGAAAGCAGTTTCCAAAGAAGCCTGCCTTAAACAAAAGCTCAAGGAAAGTAGGTTCTTCTGTTCCCCGTCTCCCAGATGGGATCTCACAGGAAACGCCTAGAAGCTGCAATCGCAAGACTCGATCGGTTTCAGGCAGTAAACATAACCTGACCTCTCAGGTCGTCGACAACCCCCAAAATCCAACATTAGGTTTGACGCAACTGTTGTTGCATCTACCAGCACCGTTGACGAGTGGGTACAGGTTGTAAGGAAGAAAATAAGTAGCGATATAAAAGGTAATCCTACCCCCGCGAAAGTAGTCGTAAAATGGAAAGCTAATCATAGCGACAGATCAGCTATTTTTCATAGAATCAAGGAGAGCGAGAGCTCTGGACCAAAAGCTGTTTTGAGCATGACATTGTGCTGATTAAACAGCTGCTTAATCAACTCATGCCTCAAAATATCACCGGGGTCACCTTGCTAAAGGTGTACAGACTAAGGAGTCTAGCGGACTTCAAACCAAATCATTCCAGACTGCTTAAAGTAGTATTCAACTCTTCGAACGAACGTGACCTAATTTTACAAAATGGACACAAATTAAAGGGTTCAGGAGTCTTTATACGAAAGGACCTACCGTTGGCAGACCGTGTTAAAAGACAGGAAGTTGGAAAAGAACTACAACTTAGGTTAGACGCTGACGAAAGGGACCTGAAAATTGTAAATTTTCGGGTTGTAAGGCTTTGACAGAGAATGATGCCGAAGCCACTCTGGATGAAGCACGAAGCCACTTAAACAGGCTTCGCATCTGTTACACCAATGCCCGAAGCTTGCTTAATAAGCGATCGGAACTAGGTGAACAGATTGACTCTACAAATTCAGACATAGTCGCAGTAACAGAAACCTGGCTGACACAGGCTATAGATAGTATGGAACTTGATTTCGAAGGTTTTACGTTAGTAAGGGCCGACAGAACACAAAAGCACAAAGGAGGGGGAGTAGCTCTATTCATTAGGAATGCTATCCCATTTGCCATTCTCTCTAGTGTATCCCATGAGAGTGGGACGTGTGAATAAGTTAGTTGCCGTTTGAAATTCAAGGGACAAGAGCTGCTGATTGGTTTGGTCTATCGCAGTCCAAGCTGTGAGGCAAATGAGATCCTGTTAAACAGTCTCAATACTTGGTCCAAAAGTGGTCGTTGTCTAATCCTAAGGGACTTAAATGCACCTATGGTAGACTGGGAAAATCTGCTAACTAAATCGTCAGAAAATTCCTTCGAGCAGGAACTAGTTGATGCGGTTATCACATGTGCCCTGGTGCAACACGTGAAAGAAGCGACAAGGTACGACCAGGACACTGAATCATCCTTATTAGATCTTATACTGACTCACTATGAGGATGATGTTGCGAACCTTGATCATATGCCACCCTTAGGCAAAAGTGATCACGCTGCTTTAATTTTCGACTTCCATATAACTGCCAGTCACGAGCACGCGTCAGTCCAGTCCATACCTAACGTCTGGAAAGCAAAAATACCAGACATCATGCACTCAGCATCGTTAATAAATTGGACAATAGACTCAGAGTCCTCCATTGAAATAGGTAAATCCACGGGGCCCGATGAATTACATCCTGGGCTACTGAAGGAATTATCTAACTTCGTTGCAAGCCCTTTAAGTACATGCTTTAACCTATCCGTTACGCAGGGTCGTTTACCAATAGACTGGAAAAATGCCATAGTAAGTCCTGTCTTCAAAACAGGTACGAAACACAAACCTGAGAACTACCGCATCGTTAGCCTAACTAGTGTGGTTGTTAAAATATTAGAAAAGATTATTCGGAAGGAGCTGTTTAAGTATCTCGATAAAAGCCGGATCCTTTCGAAGAAGCAGCACGGCTTCAGAATAGGTTACTCTTGTCTCACTAACTTATTAGTGGCTCGTGAAAGCTGGTGCGCTCTTAAGGACCAAAAGCTACCTGTAGACGTAGCCTTGATTGATTTCAGTAAAGCTTTTGACAAAGTTCCGCACAACCGGCTGTTATATAAGTTAAGAAATGTCGGGATTGGAGGCAATCTATTGATGTGGATAAGAGACTTCTTAGTTGGGCGTCAACAAAGAGTAAGGGTGAACTCTAAGTTATCTAGCTGGGAAACTGTGCTTAGTGGAGTGCCCCAGGGCACAGTTTTGGGGCCAGTGCTATTCCTCTTGTATGTAAATGACCTTCCTGGTCTCCTATCACCATCAGTCTTGCTATATGCTGACGATGTCAAGATATGGAGAACGATACAATGTAAGAGTGATAGCTCAGAACTTCAAAATGACCTGAAGAAGTTATCTGAATGGTCTCAAACCTGGCAGTTGCCGATAAATACTTCCAAGTGTGTTGTGATCCATAACGGTCATCAAGGTACAGATACATACACAATGAATAACACTGAGCTACCTGTCGTCCAGACATATAATGACTTAGGAGTCATCGTTAGCCAAGACTTAAAGACTACTGCACACTGCCGTGCAATAGCCGCCAAAGGTTTTAGAACCTTATGGTCAATATGTAGAGCTTTTAGTCATGTCGACGCTAAGACGTTTTTGACTTTGTATACAGTGTTTGTACGTCCTAAACTTGAGTACTGCATACAAGCGGTTAGCCCCTGCTTAAAAAAAGACAGTGAACGTCTGGAAAAGGTTCAGGGAACGGCGACTAAGCTGATTCCCGGAATAGCGAAGCTTCCGTATGAAGTTCGACTGGCCAAGCTGAACCTTTTCCCGCTGTCATATCGCAGAACTAGAGGCGACTTGATTACAGTCTTTGAATTGCTTAGTGATAAATTTGCACCTAATATGCTCTCATTTTTCTTGTCTTCCAAAACAGAATTTGCGAGGACACTCCAAAAAAGTTCACAAGCCGAGAACAAATTACTTGTCAGCTGACTATCGACTTTCCCATCGAATCATCAACGAGTGGAATTCACTACCTCAGGACGTAGTTGAGGCTCCATCCGTCGACTCTTTCAAAAGAAAGTTGGATCAACTGAGAGACAACCATTGCCAGGACTAACATAGGCCATCAAGCCTCCTGTCCTTCCCAAACTGAAACTGAAATAGGTTTACTTCATCAAAACACATACGAAAACCCCTTGAAACCGTCATTTTAGATGGTACACTGGAACTGTTGCCTTTCATAATGTTTCAGAAATAATTTACACCATGACATCAACGTTCATGAATGATGCCTTAACGACTCAAAGTGAAACTACCTTGTGAACAAGAATTAGTATGTCATAAGAATAATAATATATCTTCTTCCCGTTACCTTCACTTGCCTTTATATCAACTGTACAGTGTTTAAGTAATCCCCGAACCAACAATATAACGGTTATCTGTTGAAAGCGGGACTTCTAAGTTTCTTGTGTTGGTAGGTTTGCAGTGACATCAGTGGATTTCGAGCATTCCTTCTTGTGCACCTACGCCTCAATTCGTGATTCCATATTAGTTCCTGGAGACTAAAGTTGTAATTCTTACGTGATATTGGATGTAACTGACTTCATATGGATAAATCCAAGTGAAGCATGACAACACAACAGTTCTGTTGACTTTGAACAAAATTAAGTTTATTAAGATTATGTGAGTCAAAACATAAGCGATGTAAAGTTACCCAGGGGTAGATTTAGCCTTCCCATGCACTTTAAGTACTGAAGATCCTATAAAAAGCCCACATAAAAGGTTTGAGTATAAGTTAATTATCATGTAACTTAAACTATACAATAATTTATTGTACATATAAAGTTCAGAATTAAAAAGCGAGAGAAGTATAAAGCCGCATCTTGAGTTAAATTGCACACCATTTAATAACATCCAAATTACCTAGTATAAATTGAAAATATCCTAATAATTTGGTGGTTTATCTTAAGAAAATCTGAAGTATTAGATTCTAGTAGTGAACTCCAACCAGTCGATCTTGTGCTTCTGTTTTTATCAATAGAATACAATGGGATTTTAGCCAACCATCAGTAATCACAATGACAATTCCATTGTAACGGCTTCGTGGTTGACGGGACTCGTTAACCAGGGAAACTGAAGTTTTTCATATAGCTCATGTTGACTATTAAGAAGTTCATTTACCACTGTCTTCTTTTTATCTTAGTACTATATTTATTTTTCCATAGCTAGACCATAACAATAGTCCATTATTCATAATGAGTACGTTTCAGTCCCACCAACTTATTCCTTTGTTGTTTACGCGTAAACTTGAAGTCGCGCACCTACGGGCTTCAAGGTACAAAATACTCAAGTAATTAGGCAATTTCTTACGTTATGGAGCCATCTGATTTTGTTATTGCTGTTTACGCCTCCTATTTGCGTACCCAAACCACTTGAATGAGAAAACCAAGTTGCTAAGATGCTTCCACTGTTTAAATCCAAATCGAATATATGTTGACAACTTATTCATAAATATCTGCCTCTTAGAAAAGCAAGCCACCTTTTTAACGGATAGCATATCAACTGTCTCATGAAGTTAAGCCAAGTCTTGACCAGTAGCGTGAACTGTCAGCGTCCCTCACTTATCATTTGGTCTGTATTTGTTTGACTCAATGTATCAGAAATACTCTTGCTTCATATCGTATGTTCCAGTCATAGAATATCACTAATAACCTATCCGAATTTAGTGTTACTCTGTTGTTATCTCATGAGTGCTGCACAAATCATTGAGATAGATGTTCATTTTGTTACCGTTTCAAACAAGTTAACACCTAGCGAAACACATATTGGCATAAAATGATACATCTACGTCGTGTCCTGATTTGTTTTTGTTTGTCTGTCCTCCACATTGATGTTTTACTGTAACCTAACTAAAACTCACTTTATGCTGAATTTTTCCTATTCGTTTCCCTCAGTTATATAAAATTATTTCAGACTACAAGTTATCAGCTTAGCTTTTGTTATTAGACAGACCCTGCCACTTGAAACCGCATCTGCATACTGTTCTTGCTAAAGTACCTTGTTCATATCCCTACCTCCAAGTTTAAATAGATTGATAAGGCACTTATGTTTTTATTTTCGAACTAGTGTTAACTCCACAGTTTTATTTGATGCGTAAACGAGTGCATATTGATGTAGTTCCAAAGACTCCGGAAGGAGGACATATAGACTTTCGACAAATTTCTGCAGAGGAAATTGAGTTTGACTCAGAAATAACAATAAAGTCGTCACTGCTGCGCGAATGTAAACCAGGCAATGTTTGGTTTGAGGAAGGTGATTCAGATGATGACGATAAAAAGTAAGAAGTATATTGTTCTTTTAAGTTTTATTAGGCCAAAATTCGTTGCTCGTAAATCTATGGATCTTCGTAAAATACGTTCAGAAAAAGATAGGTTCCAAGCTATCTGCTCTAGTCCTATGGTGGACTCTCGACCTCGAAGGCTAAGTTATTCAAAGTCCTTTAGTGAAGGTGTGTTAGATCCCAGTAACTCCAAAACTCCACTGCGTTTGCCTAAATACGATGATCTTGTCTCATCAGCATCTCGTCGCCTCTCCCGCATAATAATCAATCGTCGATTCTCTTTGTTGGAAACAAACCACAACGACCCATCTGTTGAGGGTTCACAGTTAAAAACCACAACACCTATTACCAAGTACGAGAAACAAAGAGTTAAGAAAAAATGTTCGTCTGCTTCAGAAGAGTAAGTGATTGAAATATTTTGTATAAGTCTATTTACTTTGATTTATTGACTTTCCTGCCCAGTTATTTACTAGGTTATACATCGTCACTATATTAATGCGTGATTTATACTGCCTGAAGATACAGTATCTTGTCAGATTCAACTACATAAAAATTAAAAAATGTGCATCAATTCAGGGTAATGCACTTCTGATCGACGTAATAAGCGAGCGTTGAAAAAGACGTCGATAAAATTTAGAGTCTTTTTAATATCATCAGTAACATCCCCAGAATATTTGAGTGTATCTCCGTCCCTCTAGATATAAAATGGTCTTTAAGACTTGAAAATGGAGACATATTGGATAATAGTAGTCAGTGGTTGAAGACGTTGGATAACATGGCTCGGAATCAGTAGCAGTGATGCAGTTTTATTTGTTCTCTTCCTTGAGTTTAATGTTTCTCCATACTTGCCATTTTACGATTTTATTTGCTCTTAAACTGTACTTCATTTTTAGCTTCCCATCCGAGTCTATATTACCCTTCCAATGCTCCTCATATTGCTAACTTCCCTACTCACTGTATCGATGTAAGTTGCGGCAGTTAAGACCGATACACATTTGTACCGTTTCATATGTTTTCTACATTGACTGACTCAGGGAAATAACTCGAACAAGTTAGATAAACACGGAAATAAGCATGACGAGAAGTCTAAACATGAGACGAACAGGTTTATATATGCCAAGTTGTTCTGACCTTAGAGAAAAGTAAGAAAGCATATCAAATTCGATTTCTTTCCAAGTAGTGGTTTCTGGCATTAAAAGGATACCCGGACGTAGCTCCTCCCGACCGTTGTTGCTACCTTGACGCGGTGGTCGGGCTTGTCTATCGTGATGAAGCAACCGAGCTATACTGGCTGAAACAACTGTTCCTCAAGGTCCTACCATGTCAGACAGGTAGGTTGAAGAGCGGTAAGACTAAAAGCAACAAACCCAAGGTCCGAAGGCGAAGTCGTACTGCTGACTGTACAGAGGTGTGACAGCAGTAAGGTGTTTCCTTCAGACAACCAGCATGACAGCGATGCTGCCTTCCCACAAGGAGGGGGGGGTGGGGTTAGAAAAGGTCGACCCTAAAAATGCACACCTCACCTTACCTCACGAATTTCCGTCTCCGGAGGTAAGGCCCTTTTGAAGAACGGAGCTAACACGTCAAAAACCTCCCACGAAAAGGCCGTGCGCGACCGGCCTCAAGCAGTTGTCCCTTGGGCACTGCGGTCACGCTCTCAGGTCACTGAGACCGCCTCTAATCCAATTTCCTTTTCAGGTACCTCCAGAACAACCCTTCCACGGTGTGGGCAACCGGGAAGTGATAACCGCCCTCATACCTTTAACAGCACCCAAGACCACTGTATTCATAATCAACCTTCCTCTTCAATTCCTATTATTCCTCCTACATCGACTTTCAACTCTAAACTTCCTCTTTCGGCTTCCTCCTCAAGTGTCACCATAGCCAACGATTCTAGTGCTCAAAACTCTGTCCCAGGTCTACTGAAACCTCGCTCCGAACTACACATTGGAGCCTTCAACGTACGCACCCTATGTCAAATCGGTCAGCAGGCTTCCTTGGCTAAAACCCTAGAGTCTCTTTCCATTGATGTATGCTGTGTCTCCGAAACACGCATACAGGATTCCAGTGTGGTCATTCACTTGACCTCACCTCAGCAAAACGGAGAGCCAACGAGATACACCCTACGTGTATCTGGTGACCCTATGGCCGGTTCTCGTGGACTGACAGGTGTGACAACCACAGAGGGATTAGTTTAACTAATATAATATCTAAAATACTAGCCTCGATAATTGTCAGACGCCTAACTAAGACTCGTGAACTGCAAACACGAGAAAACCAAGCTGGCATCAGACCTGGTCGTGGCTGCATCGACCACATATTCACCATTCGTCAGATTCTAGAACACAGGCATACTTATCAGCGTCCGACAATGGCGGTCTTCCTCGACTTAAAAGCAGCATTTGACTCGGTAGACCGCGAGATTCTGTGGCAGTGTCTGTCATTGAAAGGCGTACCCCAGAAGTACATAAGCCTTGTAAAGGCTCTTTACTCGAACACTACTAGTCGAGTCAGAGCTTATGGCGAACTGTCATCTACTTTTGCAACCTCAAGTGGTGTCCGTCAAGGCTGTCCACTTTCCCCATTTTTGTTTAACTGCATCATAGATCTACTGATGGAAATAACTTTCTCGTCGACTGAGTTCTCGGGTATTGATCTCCATCCAGGAGGTCCACTTAACGACTTAGAATACGCAGATGACATAGTCCTGTTTGATGAAGACGCTGACAAAATGCAGAGTCTTCTGGTAGCACTGAGCAACAATGCCAGAATGTTTGGAATGCGCTTCTCTCCCTCTAAATGCAAGTTGTTGCTTCAGGACTGGTCTGTGTTAACACCTGAACTAAGGATAGGGAGTGAAGTAGTCGAACGGGTTGACAACTTCACTTATCTTGGAAGTCTGATCAGCCCTAAAGGGTTGGTGTCTGACGAAATCTCTGCACGGATTCGAAAAGCTCGTTTGGCTTTTTCCAACTTACGTCACCTATGGCGAAGGCGAGATATCCGTCTATCAATAAAAGGACGAGTATACTGCGCGGCAGTCCGTTCTGTTTTAATTTACGGCAGCGAAACATGGCCATTAAGAGTAGAAGACACTCGTAAGCTACTAGTATTTGACCACAGACGCCTTAGAAATATTGCTGGCGTCTGCTGGGATCACCGGGTAAGTAATAGTGAGGTTAGACGCAGGGTATTCAGAAATGATGGTAAATCAGTTGGTGAGGTTATGAATCTCCATCGACTGAGATGGTTGGGCCACGTGTTACGTATGCCTGAACACCGATTACCACGACGTGCAATGCTATCCGGTATTGGAGATGGTTGGAAGAAAGTAAGGGGCGGCCAAACCAAAACGTGGCATCAGTGCTTGAAGTCACTAACTTCTAGTCTGAGTCATGTTGGTAGATGCAGACTACTTGGTTAGAGTCTGCGCAACTATCGTAACCAATGGTTGGAGTCTCTGAGTGACATAGCTCAGAATCGATCACAATGACGTAGGGCTATACGCTCTCTGTCTTCCTTTAAACTGCGAGATTAAAATTGCTTCATATCGTTCTTCCCACGAACTAATTCTTTCTTCCCGTACTATATCCTTGTACATAATCTTTCTTTTTATATTACCACCATTGAATTAACTACTTCTATCAATTCGGTGTTCATCTTGTTGTGTTAATGAGGTATGGCAACTTGGACCACCTTTGACCTAACCACTGCTATGAATCCGGTGTTGATCTTGTGTGCTGATGCGGTATGGCAACCTGGACCGATGCACATATGTGCCTGGTCCTACGTTGTAGCTGACTGACTGACTGACTGACTTCACCAAACAAAACTATATCACCTGCATGCTCTAAGTCAACAAGTGAATCTCCTGATAGAAGATCAATCCCTGAACAGTAAGACGATGAGTGTTATTTCTTACAAAGTTAAATATTAAATATGGAAAGCGGACAACCTTGACGAACACTGGAAATAACATTTCGTGGACTCAAATTATTAGCGTTAGTCGCCAAGACGTGAAATCACATCAGAAAGTCACTCACTTCTGGTCCCAGCCACGTTGGTAGATGCAGACTACTTGGTTAGAGTCCGCGCAACTATCGTAACCCGTGGTTGGAGTCTCTGAGTGACATAGCTCAGAATCGATCACAATGACGTAGGGCTATACGCTCTCTGTCTTCCTTTAAACTGCGAGATTAAAATTGCTTCATATCGTTCTTCCCACGAACTTATTCTTTCTTCCCGTACTATATCCTTGTACATAATCTTTCTTTTTATATTACCACCATTGAATTAACTACTTCTATCAATTCGGTGTTCATCTTGTTGTGTTAATGAGGTATGGCAACTTGGACCGGTGTATGTATGTGCATGGTCCTACATTGTTGCTGACTGACTAATTGGTCGCCCGTGGTGATAGAGACAAATGAAAAGGGTTATTTGTGGGCATGGAAGAATTATTAAAAGGTAAGGGAGGGATTCGATTTACGAAAAGATTATCTCAGGCGCTGACAGAAGAATGAAGGCGAATTTTACTCTCCAGTTTCCTACACAATGGAAGGATACTTCTTCTTGAGGGTCCTAAAAAGGAAGCTGAATTAGTGGTAGTTTTGCCGACCTGAGAACGTGATCACAAAGCCCAAGGGGCGCCCAATCTTCTTATGAGAAGTTTTTGATGCGTGAACCACAACACTCCAAAAGACCTTACCGCCGGAGACAGAAATCTGTAGGGTAATATGTAGTGTGACATTTTTAGGGTATACCTTTTCCAACCCCTTCCTCCCATTGTGAAAAGACAGTATCACTTTAGATGCTGGTTGTCAGAGGGAAACACCTTACTGCTGACACACACCTTTACAGTCAGCAATACAACTTCGCCCTCAAGCCATAAGTTGCTGTTCTTAGTCTTATCGTTCTCTAACCGGCCTGCCTGCCATGGTAGGACCTGAAAGGATATGGGTTCCAACCAATATGTCTCAGTTGAGACGTCACGGTAGGCAAGTCCCACCGCTATGTGAAGGTAGGAGCTACGACCAGTCAGTCAGTCAGTCAGCTACAACGTAGGACCAGGCACATATGTGCATCGGTCCAGGTTGCCATACCGCATCAGCACACAAGATCAACACCGGATTCATAGCAGTGGTTAGGTCAAAGGTGGTAATATATAAGAGAAAGATTGCATATAGAGATATAGTACAAGAAGAAAAAATTGGTTCGTAGAAAGAAAGGTATGAAGCGATTTTCATCTCTTAGTTTAAGGGAAGACAGGGAGTGTATACACCGACGCCATTGTGATTGATTTTGAGCCATGTCACTAAGAGTCTCCGACCATTGGTTACGATAGTCACGAGGACCCCAACCAAGTAGTCTGCATCTACCAACATGACTCAGACTAGAAGTTAGTGACTTCAAGCACTGATGCCACGTTTTGGTTTGGCCGCCCCTTACTTTCTTCCAACCATCTCCAATACCGGATAGCATTGCACGTCGTGGTAATCGGTGTTCAGGCATACGTAACACGTGGCCCAACCATCTCAGTCGATGGAGATTCATAACCTCACCAACTGATTTACCATCATTTCTGAATACCCTGCGTCTAACCTCACTATTACTTACCCGGTGATCCCAGCAGACGCCAGCAATATTTCTAAGGCGTCTGTGGTCAAATACTAGTAGCTTACGAGTATCTTCTACTCTTAATGGCCATGTTTCGCTGCCGTAAATTAAAACAGAACGGACTGCCGCGCAGTATACTCGTCCTTTTATTGATAGACGGATATCTCGCCTTCGCCATAGGTGACGTAAGTTGGAAAAAGCCAAACGAGCTTTTCGAATCCGTGCAGAGATTTCGTCAGACACCAACCGTTTAGGGCTGATCAGACTTCCAAGATAAGTGAAGTTGTCAACCCGTTCGACTACTTCACTCCCTATCCTTAGTTCAGTTAGAGTCCGCGCAACTATCGTAACCAATAGTTGGAGTCTCTGAGTGACATGGCTCAAAATCGATCACAATGGCGTCGGTGTATACACTCCCTGTCTTCCCTTGAACTAAGAGATGAAAATCGCTTCATACCTTTCTTTCTACGAACCAATTTTTTCTTCTTGTACTATATCTCTATATGCAATCTTTCTCTTATATATTACCCCCTTTGACCTAACCACTGCTATGAATCCGGTGTTGATCTTGTGTGCTGATGCGGTATGGCAACCTGGACCGATGCACATATGTGCCTGGTCCTACGTTGTAGCTGACTGACTGACTTCACCAAACAAAACTATATCACCTGCATGCTCTAAGTCAACAAGTGAATCTCCTGATAGAAGATCAATCCCTGAACAGTAAGACGATGAGTGTTATTTCTTACAAAGGTAAATATTAAATATGGAAAGCGGACAACCTTGACGAACACTGGAAATAACATTTCGTGGACTCAAATTATTAGCGTTAGTCGCCAAGACGTGAAATCACATCAGAAAGTCACTCACTTCTGGTCCCAGCCACGTTGGTAGATGCAGACTACTTGGTTAGAGTCCGCGCAACTATCGTAACCCGTGGTTGGAGTCTCTGAGTGACATAGCTCAGAATCGATCACAATGACGTAGGGCTATACGCTCTCTGTCTTCCCTTAAACTGTGAGATTAAAATTGCTTCATATCGTTCTTCCCACGAACTAATTCTTTCTTCCCGTACTATATCCTTGTACATAATCTTTCTTTTTATATTACCACCATTGAATTAACTACTTCTATCAATTCGGTGTTCATCTTGTTGTGTTAATGAGGTATGGCAACTTGGACCGGTGTATGTATGTGCATGGTCCTACATTGTTGCTGACTGACTGAGATTTAACTGCTGTCTAATTGAAGGAGGCCTAATTATATTTTGTTTTTTTTACTGGTCGAGTGAATTCGTCGTATACGATTGTTATTAAAATGGCTTTATGTTCACTCTGTAACCGAACAAAAGAATCTATCCTCATGAAGTGTATTTGGTATTAAGTAAAGTTGTGCATGTGAGAACCAATAAATACCTTTAAATTTTCAGACCAGTAATATTGTTCATGGATTTGAGTAATCATGTAAAGACACGAATTCCTGTTCTCTCATGGGCTTACTAAAATCTCTTGCAGCACCAAATTATACTTTGTGTTTTTTGAAAATAACTGAAGTGACATTAATGTTTTGTGTTTGAATATGTATAGTGATCTAATGCTTTAACACATGTTCTTTTACTTAGAAAAGAGAATATCAAACCATCAAATAACGATATCGTAACAGCTACTCCTGTATCAAAAGAAGTTTTTGATGATGTTTCAAACTCTTCCGCCCATGATCCATGCTCTGTCTCTGAATTTCGTGTGCTTGCGGACATGGAAACAGCGCGACTACTTGCGTTATGCGGAGATTGGAATTGTGTTCTATCCGAGGAATGTGATAATATCCCAGAAAAAGGTAGGTGTTCAATTTTTACGGACATATATTTTTGTCAATCCTGTTTTGTCTTTTTATTTTATAATTTATTAATAAATGCCTAAAATCTTATAATAAGCACGGTACCTTACTAGTTATAATACTAGACTTTTAATCTGTAGATCGCTAGTTTTAACCCCTCTCCTACTCGCTTTTTGATGCTGAAGACGGAGGTTGATTAGGAATACATTGGTCTTGAGTGCTGTTAAACGTATGAGGGCGGTTATCACTTCCCGGTTGCCCACACCGTGGAAGGGTTGTTCTGGAGGTACCTGAAAAGGAAATTGGATTAGAGGTGGTCTTAGTGACCTGAGAGCGTGACCGCAGTGCCCAAGGGACAACTGCTTGAGGTCGGTCACACACGACCTTTTTATGGGTAATTTTTGTATTAGCTCCGTACTTTTTGGGACCTTACCTCCGGAGACGGATATCCGTGGGATAAGGCGAGGTGTGCATTTTTAGGGTCGACCTTTTCTAACCCCACCCCCTCCTTGTGGGAAGGCAGCATCGCTGTCATGCTGGTTGTCTGAAGGAAACACCTTACTGCTGTCACACCTCTGTACAGTCAGCAGTACGACTTCGCCTTCGGACCTTGGGTTTGTTGCTTTTAGTCTTACCGCTCTTCAACCTACCTGTCTGACATGGTAGGACCTTGAGGAACAGTTGTTTCAGCCAGTATAGCTCGGTTGCTTCATCACGATAGACAAGCCCGACCACCACGTCAAGGTAGCAACAACGGTCGAGTTTGATGCTGAGCGGTATTATTAACTCACACAAACCATGTAACTCAAAGCTGAGCGCACAGATCTTAAACTGGTACGTGAGTTGTATCAAGAAAGACACATTGTACGCATGAACTATATAAAATTTCAATCTTGTTCAGATGAAGCTCGAAAGATTTTTTCAAAAATATACCCTCTCCTTAAAACTAGTACTGTTATAGTGACATCGAATTTCTGTTGTTTTATATGTAAATTTTATTTCTAAACAGCATACTCAAGTATATTTTAATCTGAATTACAAGCTTCTAAATTTACCCCTTGTGTATGTGGGGGTCCTGTTGTCTACAAATCATGTATGTAAAAAAACGTGATCTGACTACGCATCACCTCACTAGTACAGTTCTGTGAATTCAATGTAATCCATTAGCTTTATTCAATTCCCTCTACTCTCTGTTTGTGTAAAATGCCTACTATTACTCCACCATTTCATTGTTAACAGTAAATGAATTCAAAGTAGCTTAATAGCCACGTACAGAATATACGTGGATGACAATAAACTACGCATATTATGTAAGAAATTAACATTTGTGATCTGGTAATTGAAGGTTGATTGCCTAAATTAATAAGTGAGCTATTGAAATTTCTGCACAAGTAACTAACAGTTGAAATGAGATCTAATAGATTATTATTAGTAATTTTACTGAAGTTGTCTACACATTTTCTGTTGTTCTTTTCTCTGATCCTATATTTACTTGTCATACCTTTCATTAGCTCATAGATCTAGTCTGTCTTCGTATGTTTATGAATCACCGGATGACCTAGATGATGAGCTCCTGAAACTGTACTTGTCTTGTAGTTCTCAGGCCTTTTTTCTCACTAATTGTTGTGATAAAGTGGATTGGTGTGTTTTTTGTGAGAAAAGTGGTGGTTAAATAAGTATAGTTTTAACCTAAACAATTTTGTATCATTTAAGTGTGATGCCTTCTAACTTCACTGCTTTACCTTTCTTTTCGTATCCATAGCACTTGACTCAATCAGGGCAACCGTTGGAAAATGTCAATTATTGTTGCAGAAAAAGTTGCCATTTTTCAAAAGCCTTATTGAAATGGCAGAAACAAGCCTTGGAAAGTCTGACACACTGTCGAATAGTGCAACAACACCAGAAGCCACTATAAATGATCTCTTAGGTTATTGGACCTTAGTAGCTGATGAAATCAGTTTATCCGATAGTGCTTTCGAACGTCTACGTGTTTGGCGTGATGAGTTACATTGGTCAATTGATCAGTGTCCTGTTACCCCAGCCAGGTCACAAATTGTTAAACGACGTGGTCGTCTATCTAAACAAATAAAACGCTTACCAACTCCAAAGAGTAATAAATCCAGAAAGTCTCAATCTGTCAGTGATGAAGTTTTAAATACGGATAGTGTAAATCCCTCTCTTTCAAAAAAGCTAGGTTCAACTGTTAAAGCAACCAAGGTATTTATTCTGTCTTTTATTTACATTAAATGGTTCATCTACATCGTTGAGTTGAATCCCAGATGTTCCAATCAAAATTCTCCATACCATTTAGATATTGATACTGTATATTCATAAGTACTAGGTATTCGCATTGTTTTTTTTTAAATACCGTACGGAATCATGTTACTGAAATGATGTTTAATGGTTGTGCGGATATGTATGTTTAACCACGTATTATTATGTCCTGCGAAGCTGAAAAAAATTAGCTAAAAGCATAACCTTTAGTTCTCACATTGACTGCGGTAAATATTAAATTAAACAACTACTCTTCATTCCACAGAGTGTCATCTTTTAATCTTTCAAGGTCTCTATTTCCTTCAGTTATTCTGAGCATCGGTAGGTAGTTGTCAATATGAAAACCTAGTTGACTCGTAAATGTTGGTCGTACGCATGGCGTAAAACAACATTTCACTTGATAAATAAAGATTCTATGTGATCAAGTTACGAAACTGAACCTACATTCTAATTATACTAACAAATCGTAATGATACTTCGGTGATAACAAAACACAATGAATGGTTAAACTCCATTAGGTATGTTGGGTGCATGAGAAATTCGCATTTTGCATGGAATTATTTATCCGTTCTCTTACAACTTTAATGGTGACCTTGATTGGTATGTATTAAGTCGACTTTCGCTGTCTGGATCTCATCCATAAAAACATAGGTATCATCTTCCAGTCAACAGGTTTAAACCATAGCCCGATACTACTTTTAGATCTATGTTTAGGATCTGTCATCGTCGATAAAATTAAAATATGGGTAGACCTGGTAACTTTCTCTTGCTGGATTTCTGAAATAATGAATAAAAAATATCTCAATTGCATCTCTTCATGTGTCGAATCATATGACCTTTGAAGAAAGCAATCAACTTAAGAAACCCCTTTAATACCATATTCTTTCTACACAGGGTACATCCTCCGTAGAATAATGCAGATGATCTAAAATGTACTCCATTGAAAAATCGCATATACCTAAAGGCAATGACAATAACATGTATGGGTCTTGACTGAATTTCTATGGGATTTAGACATTCACACTAATGAATCATTGAGTTGTAACCTGCGTCATGTTCAGATCTTAGCTGTGATTGAAGTCCATCAATTGAATTGTAATATACCCTTTGGTCTAAGTAATACAATGTTGCGATTCGATGGTTATGTTGTCAATTTTCCGATTTTGATACTGATGCATAAGTTTCTATACGTAAGCCAAATCAACTACTTGAGTGAGAAAATAGCTTTTATTGGCTAATCGAGTTAGCATTTATGTATACTCGTCCATATGTGTGTGTATCCATTAGAAAATTAAGCCACTAATCGAGTATATCTCATATTTTGATAACTTACACTAATTATTTGGCGGTGTCCGAGCAACCCAATGTATCGTAGGTTTGATGCTTGATGAACATAGGTAATGAACGAATGCCTTGATTCTACATACCATGTTTGTTGATATTCATTGGTAGGGCTTGTCGACAGTTTTGTTCACTTCATTATTGCAAAGCTTTAACATGGATATTGTTTATTTGCCGTTAACATTCTCGATTTAAGGCTTTTTCTATTTCTGTTCACAAGTTTTCAACTATAATTTAGGTATGATATTTTGTAAATGGTACAGAACCATAGTATACAATTGGTGTTTCATGTGAGAAAACTACCACATACGTTATCCAGCCACCGGTAACATATATTAATAGATGCCATGCGAAATGGAGTCCGTGCAAATTCAGTTGTAATATGTTCAGTATACTGTAATTTCTATGTGAAATTAATGGAGATGTTAGGTGATGCTAACAATACATTTGAAAGAAAATATGTAGGTCCTTATTACTATACGCGAGAGAAATACACCCAGATCTCGGTAAAGCACTACAGTTTAGTGCATTATCAAGTGTAAATGTTTCCAATTCATAATATGATCCTGTTGACTCAAAAGTCAAGTTTTCCACTCACTGTTTTCTTTTGGGAATTAAAGGATGTACAGAAAAAACCGGTGAAGTCTAGATTTGCTGAATTTCTGCGAGCTAAAAAGGCACTAACAGTGGAAGGTAAGCACAGTGTATATTTCTTTTGTTTGCATTCATTTGTAAAACTGTTTCTGTTCGAAAGTTGTTCTGTTCAGCTCTTGCTGCTCTTTCTTAGACCTAATAAACGTACTTTCTTCAACTGCTTATAATTTTTGGAATGGATTGTAGTATATTCACTTATCTTACCACTCTATCAGGTTTTTATTATTGGTGTAGAAGATTTCTTGAAATTGTTCAATCCATAGTTCACAGTGTAGATTGACTTCAGTTAAACGACCATTAAAAACCGAGAAGCACTGGATGGGGTATCTACGATGTAAACTAAATAAAACTGAACAATATACACAAACTTTACTAACAATAGTCACATACTCACTAATGAATAATTGCGAAAGTGAATTGCCGGAATTCTAGTGAGAAATCGTGATCAATGGAGTACAACCACAGTAGTTGTGAGACAACCATTACTAATGACAGTCGATTGTGGTCGTACAATAGCGCGAATTGACTGAAGTTACAAGTTCGTGCTATTGAACGTCGACTCATTGATCTGAAGGTTCATTGCATGCCATAAGACCTCCAGGTCCCGATTTCGATCTCTGATAGAGTCAAGGATGAGTGAAAAAGCTGTTCAGTGCCTCTTACTTTGAAATGCTTTTCTAACTAATCAGTCTGTGATTGTATACTACACCCTTTTTTCAGCTGATATTAACGTAGATATTCATTCTGACGATTGGCCTAGTATTCTCTTCACCCGTATACCTTATTCTAAGTTTTTAAGCCAAATTCGAAAGCATATTTGCATGTAATTTGAAAAATAACATTGTTATGGTTTTCGGCTGTTAATTTAAAAAACAGGACAGACATTCTTTGTCTGGATTTCAATAGACAGTTTTCTGTATTCCATCCGATCAAATAATTCTATGAGACCTCTGAAATAGGGATGCACGCCGTCGTCTGCCTGCACCTCCACTGATCACAGCCTTGTTTAAGTAAGAGATAAGTTCCATCAAAAACCCTCCGAACTTTTCCATAAGGCTGCACGCTCGGACGTAGTAATCAAAGTTGATGCTCTTATATCCGAATGGGTAGGAAGAGTGTCTGAAAAAAGTCATCTAGGGTAGTTTTGCAACATAACCGAAAACATAGATAGTTATGACCCCATCTGCTTTAGTTTTCCTCAAACAACCACTTAGTGCTAGTAAACACCAACTTTAAATATGAGAAGAGACATTATCTGATATGGTGATCCTTCAACATATACTCAACTAAACCCAGAGAAATCGCTACAGGAGGACTTCAGTTTGAAAATGAAAAGGTCTACTTAACAAGAAACTAGCTAAACACGTAATCAGTCATGAAGATAATGCTATTCTCCAATCAGTTAGCTGTAAATTCATCGGTTATATTTTGTAACTTAAGTCAAAAGATTAAAAAGTACCAACGGATTTTGAGAACACTTATAACTAATGGATTTTATGACAAATCGGTTGATGGGACTGTAAATCTTTATCTACTGAAGTGACTGGGACGTGTTATATATTCTCAGTCACTCTCTAACCCAAAGTTCAATATTGTCTGACGTAAGAGCCGTTTAAAGAAAAGCCAGGATTGAGCAAATTAAGACGAGATTTTAGTTCACAATTTCATTGTCCGTTGATCAGAGCGGCTTCGGGACGTGCAAACTTCCAGGTTGGGACTTAAAAAAATAATTGTTACTTATGGTTTTGGATGTTAAGTGACAATGCCCAAAATCAAGCTGCTGTGACGCATATGCTTTCATTCTTCTTTTGTGTATCGTAGTTTCCAATGTTATTCCAGTCTTTAATCCTTCTCGAACCATGTTTTGTTTTCCTTAGCATCCAATTGATATTATTATTATTCCGACTAACTAGATAAATTCAGAACACTTGTATTTACCCTACTACTGTGGAATCAATCTGAAATAGTTTATTTTGGCTGATTAATGAAATCGTCATTTCCATATCAAAGAATCTCTTTATCCACTAATGAGTCGGTTTTCGTAATGTCATTCCATGATTTACTACTGTATCAAATGAATCTATAGTTTTGATAGGCCTTTCATCTGCGTGGATTTTAGTTTTACAACGTCAATGTTTCCCAATCAGAATTTACAAATGATTGATCATTGAGCCATGATGACTTGCCTGGTGGAACCCATTATCGATAAGAGTTTTTCTTAAGAGGTTGAATTCGTCATCTGTGGCATCGGTGAATGCGAATTCTTTGTATTCGTATAGCAAAAGATATGATTAAAGTTTTTCTTTCCTTCTCAACTTTGCGATTAACTTCATTAACTGCGATAAAATAGATCATGTATAGGTATGATTACATAAATAAGTTTTTATTCTATCCCGTTTTCGTTTATTCTCATTTCTCCACAGCGACACCTACTGATCATGGTCAACATCAATCTTATCACCAAAGTGAAAATATTGTTGATACACTCTCACCTCTTGGTTTACATCCAGTTGATAGGAATTTCACTATTCAAAAATAATAGAGAAGTAAAAAATTAACGTATATTTTTATTTTGACTGAATTGTACAAACAATTACTACTTATTTTACAGTTGTTAGTCATGATTGTTCACGGACTGACTGACATTTTCGTAAACCAAAAATCTGTCTCTCGCTTTCTCTTCCCACCAGTTTATTGTTCTCTTACTAAACGTTTATTCTCTGCTTTTGCCTCGTTGTCATTTATGTTGTTTTTAGTAATTATTGTTACCATTATCGTCATTATTCTTATTATCATTACTGCTTATTGTTCATCCATACTGTGTTTTATGGTTTGAGAAAAATCAGATACGTTAATATCATTAATATAAAAACGTACGACGAAATATACTTTACTATTATGTCATTATTTTGTGATTTACTGGGCTTAAAATTTGTGTAGTAGTAGTAGTAATAGTAGTATAGACAATGTATTCAAATGCCTATCAGTATTTGTTTTAGTTAGAGAAACTTTAAATTTTTAGGAAAACATGTACAACGTACAGCTTATGAAAATATAAAAATTTCAATCATCATAAGAATATTATTATTGGTAATGATTGTTTTTATATAACTTAAAGATGAACTAACAAGATATCTAGATTTAGTCCTATAAATTATTCTGTGAAATGTTCTGATGATCATTAAAAATGTACCTGGAAAATGGTCAGAATTCTAAAGATGACCCCCAAATGCCCTGGTATGGCCGAAAGTAGGGTGGGCCCGCCCTCCCTCTCGAAATGCTCTCACACGACCAACCGTATACAGCCTCTGCTAGAAAAGTCCTACTCACTGCCTTCTCGTGGCGGGGGTGTTGTTTACGAAAATGAGAGGACGAAAAGCGAATGTCCGGCGCCTTAACCGGATTCCAAACCAATGGTGCACATGGGCTCCAGTATCCTGAAGGAACAAATGGCGTATGAACCAACTGTTGGTCACCGGCTACCATGGGACTGCATCTCTTCACGTTGCTCCTCTGCGTTGTGGGTCAAACCTATAGGTCCAAGGCTCGGGGTGTGGTCCCCTAAGAAAACCACCTGCTTCGGTCTGGGCACCCGGGCAGTATCCCAGCCCTTACACAAATCGAATGGTTTATGCGGCGCATATGTATTTGGTGCCTCCTTGTACCAATTTTTATGTGTTTAAATAAATATGTTGCGAAATGGATAGATCATAGAATACTTGTCTGATCTTTTCGAAAGTATCGTGAACTAGTTTGATGATAACATTCTCGCTGCTTTTCTTTCATGCCACTAGAAAATCGAGTATGATAATTCAAACAGTGTTTAAAAGCTAACAGAATAGATTATTTTTTCACAACTAGTGGTAAAACTGGAACGATCAAGTTTGATAAGATAGTTATAAGCCGGATAAGCGATTCAATTAATGAAAGGTACTAGTTAGTGCTATGAAACAGGTATTAAGGCATTTGTAAATATGTCTACACCGCCTACGCCAAAAGTGATACTGCTTTAGGGTTAGCATCGAAGAGTAATGTAGTCGTACATTAACTGGTTACCAAGTACATGGCCCATGTTTATGAAGTATGACCCCCTGCTCCTAAATATGAGATGTCAGCACACTTTTCAGGTTTGTAGAGCACAATTCTTAAAATCAAGAACTTACTTAACCATAAGCTTGTTAAAGCACATAGTGAGTAAAAGGTTATAAATCTCGCTAAGAACTTACATCTTCCTACTTGTGTTTGTGGAGTTTCATTTGATGACAGCCTAACAGTATTAGTAATCACCTTATATAAATAGGAATTCCAAACTATTGTCACGGTTTCCTAACGTCGCATAATTTAAAAAGTTATACTAAAGTAGACTAACAGAATTCAGTCTAATATACAAACAGGATATGTATGCTATCGCATCATAGAGTTTCCCTTACCAAAATGGAATGTTGGTAAAAACATGAATGGACTGTCTGTGCAGTTTTTCCTAAATGTATGTAACTACTAACAAGTAGTTAGTGAATAATTACAAAAGTTTGGTCTCAGCTAAGATTCACCACATACAGTCTGGTTTCTGATTAATGAATTTTACCCCGAATGTAAACTATCCAAAGTTTATATTTCCTATAAATCAAATCTAAATCGCACAATATTGCGACCCATTTATATCAGATAGTAAGAAGGCTACTTATATCAAGACAATATGTTAGGGCAAAGCATTTTGAATACTAATTAGTCAAAATATACGAACCCAAAGCTTGACAAACAGGAACATATGAAAAACGATATTGTTGATATCACAGAGTTTTCCCCAATATTCGAATTGGGGACTTAATATTAGATACAAACGTCTTTGAACATATAAAGGAGGTTCAAATATTCGTTTGACTTAACTTTCAACACATCATCCTATTCTCACGTTCATACATTACTACATAGATTGTTCATAGGTCGGTTCTACAGTGTGTTTCTAATATATGTTTAACGATAGAAAAGAATGAAGGCTTATCACATGATTTTGCAACCATTAAGGTAATTCTTTAACTAGCATTAGTAGCATATCACGATTAGTCCTATCTATGTATGTGAATCGACGAACACAGTAGAATATAATGCAATCCTTTATAGACTGTTAGGACCTCTAGTTGATTGTAGAGTTTGTCTATTCAATTATCTTGATCATGTAAAATACTTAAAGTCAGTGCAGACTTTTTTCAGGTACAGTAGACCTCAACATTTTGCGATCTCTGCTAGTTTATGAATTTTGCTATCGATTACGCAACATTACTTAAATGAGCAGCTTCACTTCATCTAGATGCCGTAAATCAAGATAAGATAACCCGGAATATGCTGATACATATTTGTGCCAAGTTTAACACGAAACTAGACCTGTAGAATGGTTTGTCTAGATTCTATAGATGGTATTCAATTTGTAGATGGATGTACAAGATAATTTGTTCTAATAGCCTTTTCTGTCCTTTGTAATAAGCACATGGTAACCCTCTTGAATAAACGAATAATAAATTACCAGTTACGGTTCTACGCTGTTTCTAGTTGTCTTTTCCAAATCGTCTACTCTAAGATTTCAAGGCAAGTAAATTACTTCTGAAAGAAATGACTGAAATTACAGAAAAAATCCCTTGTTTAATGCTAAAACCAACATTCTTCGATAAAGATATAAATTGAAATTCACGGACTAAGGGAATCAAAATCAAAGCACACAACTGTTATCATTTATTAATCCTAAAGGGAATAATATTTAGTATACATTTTTCACTTATACCAACTCATCAGAGTTAGCAAATATTGATTTTCAAAATATCAAACAGCTTGTTATTTATTGAATAACATATATATCTATCATATTCATGCAATAGAATGTTTCCAACTTGAGTGAATTAATTGTAATGTCGATAGAAAAGTTTAACTTTATCTCATGACAGTATAATTTCTAGTTCAAGGTTACGCAAACAGTTCTTTATATTCAATTCAAGTTATTCGAACATACATTTTAAGACAGTGAATTCTACTATGTAAAAGAACTATTATATATAACCTAGAAAAGAGTACTTTTATTTTTCTATAATCATCGGTATGTAGTAATTAACGATGGATTGTAAGAGAAATGTTAATTTATTCATTGTACTTTCTATCTTAATATGGTATAATGACTTTTCATTCTCTGTTACATTCTTCTATCACCCTCCCTCTTATGCAAGAGAAAAACAAACAGATACACGTGATTACGAATTCGCATGGTTTCAGTCGCTTATTTTTGTAAAAATAAGAAATTCTATTCATAACGCGTGAACAGAAAATATGCATATAATTTAGATGCTAAACGAAGAGCCCAAAAGATAAATGTGTTCAATTACCTTATAAACATGAAAACGTCACACATTATACTAAAAATTCCACTTAGGTATCACCATGGTGATTATTATTATTTTCCCTTATCTTCATACCTTTTTTTCAACAGAAATATTGATCATCTAAGACCCATGCGTTCATCTTTTTCGACCTGATTCAACATGTAACATTCGTTTCTGAATTTATTTATTAATCTTAACGATACTAACTGATAATTGGATGATATTACTGTAAATATGATTCTTCAAAATTTACAGTTCAATAGGTCATTCAATATTGATCCTGACTTTGTTAGTTTGTGGTGTTTGAACGAACTGATGATATCTTTGTACTTGTCGAATGCTCGATTTCGAATTTTAAATACAATACATTCGTTTGTGCTTGTGTCTTACTTCTTAATTCAATTGCGTTATTTCTGGGACTCTTAGTTCGTACTGTAATTCAAATAATTCAAAACATTATATAGTTCTAATAGACTTAATTAATTGAATGGCCATGATCTACTGCCTATATTATATCTTCTTGCACCATTTCTGATCTGTGACTCTTCATTCAGCCTTTGGACAGTTAGTCTAGAGTTATACAATCCTACTTCTGAACTCAACTAAATATGGTATTCCTCACTACTACTGTTACTGCTATAATCTTCTTTACTAACTATCTGTTGGAGTAACTCACGTTGCTTGAGTATTGTGTGTAGAAGGTCTAGGTATCAGCATCACACGATTCTGATATATATATATATATCACATGAATAAGGCTCCATAGAAATTCCTACTCTTCTCAACTGTCAATCGGAACAGAAATGCAAAATGAATTGTTACAAGAAATTTCATTATTCTAGTTCACAACATATGTGTGTTTATACAAATAATCCATATGATCACTATGGACTTCAATTGATAAGTTACAATATATCATTAGAAAATCGTGCTGTTTTAAAGCACGAATGAATCATTTGTAGTTGATTCATTGTTGTTTCTTTTAATCGATAAAATATATCAATTTTACTACACTAGTGATTATATCACTAAACTGATTTGGTGCAATCCAAATGAGAAAAATAAGATAATAAACAAAAAATTTATTTTCAAACCTAAAAGTAGATTAAAAGTTGCATCTCAATTCATTAAGTTTTATAACATTGATTCACATTGTTTCTTCAAAGCATGGGACTCCTTATTAGTGTGAACCTATGACCCCTTAGTGGATTAATCTCATGGACTCTTAACCTCCAGACCATTGGGCGGACATCCAACGATGTACATATCTAACATCAATCTTGAAAACCCTTCTATACTAGTAAAAATCATTTGCTCACTAGTGATTTACTTCTAGATGCGATTCCAGGACTTCCAGTGAGCAGCCGTGATCAGTGAAGCTGAACCATATTGGTACAAAATGAGAGATCCTATTCTACTTCAGTATGATATTCATTCCGTATAACACTGGTCGCTACACAATGAACCAAGTACACATGGGTAATATACATGATGATTCGGACAGAAAATCTAAAACGGAAATTTATTGCAATATTTAAA